TCTAGGCAGCTGGCTAGGAGAACGTGGGCCTCAAGGGAGAGCTGGAGGCTGGAGATACACATTCGTAGACACTTAGGAGCCTGGGACTGCTTTATTAGCATACTACAAACATATTAAAAACAAACAAACAAACAAACAAACAAAAACCCCAGAAATTTGGGACCAGGAGATGGCATAATGGTTACATCACAGGACTCCCACATGACTGACTGTAGTTTGAGTCCCAGATCCGCTGGCTTGAAACTCACACCGGGCATGTGTGTGTACGTGCCCCAAATCTCGAGAGGAGACTGGAGAAGAAGGAATTGCGGTGTGGCCATCTCCCTTGGGGGATGATGTCTCACTTTCTGTCTCTCTGTTTCTCTCTGTCTGTATACTATAGCAAATATCTCTCTCTAAAAAATAAGAAACAAACAGAAATGGATACTCAGCATTCTGGAGGTGAAGAGTTTAAAATCGGGTGTCGGCAGGGCTGCGTGCCCTCTGATCCTGGATAGACTCTTTCCTTGCCTCTTCCTAACTGCTTGTGGTGGCTGCCAATCTTTGGCATGCTGCCTGTTGGTTGGTCAAGGAATGGAGCCCAGCCTCCAGAGCTGTTCCCTGTCACCAGCTGGTGACGTTTGATTAAAGCCAACTTGGCTTGCAGTGGTATCACTCCAATCTCTGCTGCTGGCATCGCATGGCTTTCTCCCTACGTGGCTATCTTCACAACATCTTTTTTTTTTTTTTGAGAGGTTTTTGCCATAGAGCGTGTGCACTCGCCAGACAGACGGAGAGAGACAGAGACAGAAAGCGAGAAATCACCCCCCAGGGGGGATGGCCACACCGCAATCCCTTCTCCTCCATTCTCCTCTCAGGATCTTGGGCACACACACAAGCACACCCGGCGTGAGTTTAAGCCACCGGGTTTAGGACATGAACCGCGGTCGACCACATGGGAGTCTAGTGACATAGCCATTATGCTAACTGCCGGTCCCTCTTCACATCATCTTCTATCTTTTTATAAGGAAAGAAACCATACTGGAATAAAGAATCACCTTATTCAAGCATGGCTATGTCATAACTAGTTATTAGGTGGTTGGGAAAGTTATGATATGTTTTTCTGTGCAAAAATGCGTCATGACTGCCCCAACAACCCAACACATCTGCAATGATGACCCTATTTCCAAATAAGGGCACATTCTGAGGTGGCAGGGGTTAGGACTCCAACATATTTTGGAGGGACACAATTCAACCTGTAACAGGAATTTTTAGGGAAGAGGTGGTAATTCAAACCATGAGAGCAGAGGAGACCACTTCACCAGTCCCCACGGTGTGGATAGGAAAGGGACTGAAGACCCAGCAAAGGGGAAGGACACACTGGGGAAGCGAGGATGAGGAGAAGCCAGCAAGGAGAACAAAAGCAGCAGCGAGGGAGGTAGCAGCAAAGTGAGAGTGGGTGGTGCCCTGGAAGCCAGGGGAGAAATCATGTCAAGGACAATGAGGGATCAGATGAGCAGGGTATAGCTGGTAGGTCAAGAAAGAGCAGGAAGGGGACCAGCAGATGGCATAGTGGTTACGTAGATTCCCACACGGACGACTGGGCTTGGAGTCCTGGACCCGGTGGCTTGAAAATCACTCCAGATGAGGGAACCAGCAGTTAGCGTAATGGCTATGTCGCTGGACTCCCACGTAGTCGACCGCGGTTTGCGTCCCAGACCCGGTGACTTAAAACTCACACCGGGTGCGTGTGCATGCGTGCTCAGGATCCCAAGAGGAGAATGGAAGAGAAGGGATTGCTGCGTGACCATCCCCCCTGGGGGGTGATTTCTCGCTTTCTGTCTCTATGTCTCTGTCTGTCGAGCACACGCGCCCTATAGCGAAAACCTCTCCAAAAAATAAAATCACTCCAGATGAATGTCTGTGCATGCCCAAGATCCCAGGAGAATAGAGAAGAAAGGATTGTGGTGTGGCCATCCCCCCAGCCCTACCCTGAGAGGTATTTCTCACTTTCCCTCTCACTGTGTCTGTCTCCACCGCCCCGCCAAGTGCACATGCCTCAAGGCAAAAAAAAACTCTTTAAAAAAAAGAAAAGAACGGGACCAGTAGTTAGTGTAATGGCTATGTCGCTGGATTCCCACGTAGTCGACCGTGGTTCGCATCCCAGATCCGGTGGCTTAAAACTCATGCCGGGCGCGTGTGAGTGCATGCCCAAGATCCCGAGAGGAGAATAGAGAAGGGATTGTGGTGTGGCCATCCCCCCTGGGGGATGATTTCTTGCTTTCTGTCTCTATGTCTCTCTCTGTCTGTCTGGCGAGCACACGTGCCCTATAGCAAATCCTCTCCAAAAGAGAAAGAAAGAAAGAAAGAAAGAAAGAAAGAAAGAAAGAAAGAAAGAAAGAAAGAAAGAAAGGAAGGAAGGAAGGAAGGAAGGAAGGAAGGAAGGAAGGAAGGAAGAAAGAAAGAAAGAAAGAAA